TGAGGCATCACTGACTACAGGCAGGATGTTTAGACTGCTGTAGGGACACACAAAGGAATGAAGATCTCATCTGCAGTAAAGCAGACTAACTTTGGGAAACACCAACCCAGTACCTAGCTAGTCAGCGTGTCAGTATTACAACAAAAAGTACTGTTTTAAACACAACATTTCACAAGTTTTCACTTACTTCAATAAGAATAAGCTTTTTATCATTTTCTGAGGACTCCCCAAGCATCTGAAGTTTGTTATACTTATTTGCTCTTAACAGAAAATCTTGAAAGAGAGCTGATTGGGCCTGACTCGGAAACGTATGAAAATTTGAGTCTGAAAAAGAAAACTAAGTAAAAATATGTGTTCTATATTATACCAAGTAAAATATAAAAACCCACACAAACCAATACCCACCCGTGCTATTTTCTGACAGCAGCACTGAACAAGCCCTTTGGCAAACTTGTGACAAACACGGGAGAATTTTTACAGGGGTGTAATTCAACTGAGGACCCAAAGACAGTTACCTGTTTTCTTTTATTTGGTTCAAATTATATCCAGGCTATTACAGAGTGCTCTATACTGATTTGAATTGTCAATTATTTTGGACTAAACACTGTAAAAAAACCTAAATCCCTTTCCAGATAAAAGCAACAGGAAGTCTCATTAAGCACTAAGGTATGGACTTACATGGATGTGGGTCTGATGTCATGTGACAGAGAGAAATGAAGCAGAAATACAAAACAGAAAACCCACAAAAGTAACAGGAAGAGGAGGGGGAAAGATAAAAATTCCCAACATGCTTACCATGGTCAAACATATTTCTCAAGTCCTCCTTTGTGAAGTCTAAAGAGAGAGGATTGGTCCATTCTTGCACCTGAAGGCCAAGATCTCTGGCTAGAATTTGCAGAGTTGCAGTTTTTCCACAGCCAGGAGGGCCAGTCAGCAGCAAGACAGAGCCACCCTGACACAGAGATACAAAACATAATCACAAATGTGACAAATAAAGACTGACAGTTGGCTAAGGATGAACAGCGGTTGAATTTCTCCTACAGTTTGTCTGGTATTTATCCTCCCCCCCAGTGAAACCCCAGTCACACATTTTGTGCTGTTAATTTACCTGCTGAAGAGTCAGACAGAGAGAACCAGGCCAGGACTCTGAGAGCCTTGTTCTGCTCCTAATACCTCTGGTAAATAAACTGCATGTGACTGCCAACACAACACTCACCTGGAGAACCAGCCCTGCAAAACACGAGGCTAGGCTGGCAATTTGTGTCTAAGAATGCCTCCTCACATACTGAGGAGTTGTGATTTATGACTGGATGCCAGAAAACAGCATTTCTGAGCACAATCAGACTCCACCTCTTAGGACCATAAGCCCAAAATAAATGTACAAGCTCCAACCTATGTTCTTAGAGTATTTTTTACAATGAAAAAGATACACAATTGCTATTCCTCTCAGCTGATTTTCTTCTCTGAATCTGAAATTGCATCCAGCTCATTTGTATGGTTTGATGCCTCCAGTTGCTGATTTTACCAAGTTTACCTGCTTTGGCTGCCTCTGAAATATGTGCTTTTTTAACCAGGTTTCAACTTCCTCAATCTTCTTCTTTTGCACAGCAAGGTCATTCTGAAACAAGGTTAAAATACGTGAAAGTTATACATTAAACTCCTGGTTTCCAATGATGAAATTAAAGAATAGAGTAAATGCTGGGTAAAATATCAGCAGATGTGTTGGTGTGTGTTCCAGTTAAGCACGTGCTCTGCAGAATCAATGCCACAGTTAAGGATGACCATCTCGTCCTGTTTCCTCAATCAGTTTTCCATTCTTTGTAGTCAGGACATAATGAGCTATTTATTATTCTGTAAGTAGTAACACTACAGTCTTGTCTGTGTCAGGATACTTCACAGCTATTGCTGGAGCTAGTCCTTTTACTTTTTTTACTCTAATACTGCAGAAGTTTTTTGGAACCTCTGCAAATCCATGGCTGGGTTTCCCCAGTGCTTGGAATTTCAGATGTGTCTGGAATTCAGTAACAGGTTCAAGAGTTTACAAGTGGGCTGACAGGAAACAACATCTCCTGAGCAGCTTTTCCTGCTCAGGAAGCCTGGGAAGTGGGAACGTGTGTGTCCTACAGAAAAAGAGCTCGCTGGAGTGTGGCAGTGAATCAGCCAGCATTCAGAGGGAATCAGTAACCCAGGAGCCTTCAGCAGACAGGGTATGGTGAGGGCCTGGCAGTGCAGGCTATGGACAGAGGCACTCCATGTCCCTGCGAGGGCACTGGAGCAGCTCTCACACCTGGGTTTCAGGTCTGTATCTCTCCACCCACGGCAGCTCCTCCCGGGCCTGGCTCCGCCTCCGCCCGGGCTTGGCACAGGGCAGATCGACAGAGCAGGGCTTTGTTCTTTTCCTGGCAGGAGCTGTGGCTTTGCTGCTCTCTGCCCCGGGGCTCGGGGCTCTCTGCTCCTGCCGACGGCCTCTGCCAGAGCCGCCTCTCCGCGACCTCGCTGCAGCTGCACAGGGGGCACTGCCCGTGTTTGCAAAGAAGCCATCAAACGGATGTGCCAGCCACTCTGCCACCTGCAGAAACACAAATTGCACAAACGTTTGCCTAGGAATGCAGCGCCCTCCTCCCCTCAGCTGGGCACAGCTATCCCAAATACGGGAGGTTTCTATCAAGTGTGCACTGCCCCGTGCCTGTGCCCAAGGCCAGGCTGGACACTGGGCTTGGAGCACCCTGGGGCAGTGGAAGGTGTCCCTGCCATGGCAGGGCTGGCACTGGATGGTTTTATGGCCCTGGGGTTCTGTGACTCTTCCGCATGAAAAGAAAAAAGCTGCATCATTGTGCCAGGAATGTTTTGCAGCAAACTGGCGAATCAGAACAAGTTGAGAATTCCACAAACACACATACAACCTAAAGAATTAAAAAAAATTGGAAAAGCAGTGTCAGCTTACTCAAACTACTTCTACATGATGGTAATGTTCACTCTGTCTCTGTATAGTTTTCAGTATGTGGCACTTTGCCCCTCACTTTTAAAAAATATTTACAATGCAACCATTTGTGCATAAAAGAAACAGATGGCAGAGGGCAGTTATTGAGGCAGCACAGTAAAATCAGGGAGTGTTCGCTGGTCTGGGCAGCTCAGGATGAACCAGAGTCCATGCTAGGACCAGGAACAGTGCTGGTAACAGAACCAGGATTTAATTCTGGACTTGAGGAACACCCTGCTGGGACAGGGCAGCAGATTCACCCTCAAATAACCAGAGGGGTCCCGTGGCAGCCCCTTGGTGTGGGGCAATGGGCTGGATGCCAATACCCCTCGATGAACATGTGAGTGACCAAACAGACGCAGCATCCCCCAAAAGGGCTGTGAAACTCTAACCCAACACAGCAGAGTGCCGGCAGACAGGATCTTGAGAGCTGGGTGCAGCAGGAGGCTCATCCTGGAATGGGCTCAAACAACTCCAACAGGGCTCTGATTGCAAAGCCCCCAGTGGGAAATGAAGGAGGGGGATCATGCTGCTTTTGGGGTGAATAATGCTGAAACCAGCCTGACTCCTCCATCCCAAAATTCAACATCCTGAGAGGGAGCTGAAGCTGTGGCAGGGCTGGTAAAATCCCCAGAGAAAGGAAGAACCCAGTGACACCACTGAGAACTCGTGCAGAGCTGCTGAGCTGGCACAGCCTGGGCACATCTGACTGACAGGGCAGCACTTCAGACTGGAAAAGCCCCGTCCCAAGTTTTAGTGGCAGCATCTCCTGACATTTCCCTTCTTGGGATGTGGGAATTCCTCCTGCAGTGGGGATGATGTGATCTCAAGGTCACTGCTCGAGGCTGAGCCCAATGGACACAGCGTGGGTGAGTAACGCCAGTCTCCATCCTGTAATTGTTTTTGCCGGCTTTAATACAATTACCTCGACGTTAAGAATCACAGAATCATTATAACAGGCTGGAAAAGGCCTCTGAGGTCGTAGAAGCCAGCCTTTACTTCATATTTCCACTGTTCATACAAGCATATTCACGTTTCAGCTATTGCTCCACAGTGCACTCTAGCAGTGGTTATAGTGCCTGAACTGTGCAGAGAGCAATTCTGATTAACATCTCTTTGTCTAATCATTATCAAATACATTTTGCATAAACATATGTGGTTTGGCACCCTCAATCTTGCAGGCAGGGCCGTGTAAGGTTCAGTGACATCTGTGCAATCCTGTCCACACGAGCCAGCTCTGGGGCTGGGACCGAGCTGCACCACACCCCTCTCTGAGGGGTTTGGAAAGCCGGGGGGTATGGGGCGGTTTGCGGGACTACGGGAGGGTTTGGGGGTCCCTCCTGCCCCTTGTGACTCAGCGGGAACTTCTCGGACAAATTCTGACGCTCGCACCGTGCCCGTGACAGAGCGGCGCCCCGGCACCGCTACTGCCACACACGCTGCGAGTTTGCAGTCACCCGCAAAGGGTGACCCCTGAAAAGGCGGGTCTCTCCCACACGCAGTGACACCAAACCAAATCTCTCTATTAGCAAAAATCAGAACAACCCCTACTGGAAAAGGACAAACGGCCAATACAGAGCCCACGGAGGAACGATCGGGCCGCCGAGAGCCCCTTCCCCGGACCCACCTCCGTCGGCCTTCCTGGGCCGCTGCCGGACATGCTCGGCCGGGGGGAGCCCTCCGCCTGCGGCCCCGCTGCCATCGCCGGGCCCAGGCGGAGATCCGATGTCAAGACCTGGGACTTGATGCTCCGGGACTTTGTGTGCCTCGGTGCTCTGGTGGGGAAGGAGAGCCCCCGTGTGACTCGCGGTGTGACAGGGTGCCCGGGGAGGGGATCTCGGGGAGCGCTCAGCGCTCCGGTCCCGTCCCGGCCGGGCCGCGTCCCCTCATACAGAGCCGAGGGGTCCTTCCTCTCCGCCGGCTCTTAGCTGTCCGCGCCGCGCCGGGCAGCGCCGGGCAGCCCGGTGACGCCATCAGCGCGCGCGGTGGCGGCGGAGGCCCCCGTGCACGTGTGTCCGCGGCGACGGGCGGCGGCCATGAGGCGACCGAACCTGCTCATCACCGGTGGGCACAGCTGCGGCACCATCCAGCCCGGGGTGCTGTGGGGACAAGCCCGGGGGGATCTGGGGTGTGCGCTCCAGGCTTGGTCCCTCTGGGGGCCTGGGGTCCCTGCCCTGGCCCAGCCCCGGGAGGATTTTGGGGTCTGGGGCCCCGGCCCCATCACAGCCCGGGATGGTTTAGGTTGTGAGGCAGCAGCCTGGCTGATCTGGGGTGTGAGGTCCCAGCCTGGGGTGGTTTTGCAGCTCCACTCCTTCATGAGAACGTGAGGCTCCTCCGTTTTACCTGAGGGTTTTCAAATGAATGCAGATTTCCCTTCGAACCCTTGCGGCGTGAGTGACATTCCTGCACACAGTCAGAGTTCTCTCCCTGTTTTCCTGTTTCACTCCCCTCAGCTGTTTCTCTTTGCCCTGCAGCTTTTTGCCCCATTTTCATCCCATGAGGTCTCAGTATGGGCTGTCAGAAGGTTCTAGTTCACCTGGCGGGGGGTGCTTGAAGGGACCTGCAAGTTCTCCTCTTACCTTTTGCTGTGGGTTTGGTCTTGCAGGCACGCCGGGAGTTGGGAAAACCACGCTGGGAAAGGAGCTGGCGTCCAGAGCAGGGCTGAGCTACGTCAACGTGGGGGACCTGGCCAGGGAAGGTGCTGTGTCACAGCTGTCCCCTGAGCACGGGACACGCTGCTCGATGTGACTGCTGCTGCTGCTGTCTGGAGCACTGGGAGCCCCTGCACACCTGCCTGGTGGCTGGGGCAGCTGGGGTGCTCACCTGGAGAGGAGAAGGATCCAGGGAGAGCTCAGAGCCCCTTGCAGGGCCTGAAGGGGCTCCAGGAGAGCTGGGGAGGGACTGGGGACAAGGGATGGAGGGACAGCACACAGGGAATGGCTTCCACTGCCAGAGGGCAGGGCTGGATGGGATCTTGGGAAGGAATTGTTCCCTGGCAGGGTGGGCAGGGCTGGCACAGGGTGCCCAGAGCAGCTGTGGCTGCCCCTGGATCCCTGGCAGTGCCCAAGGCCAGGCTGGACATTGGGGACAGTGGGAGGTGTCCCTGCCATGGCAGGGCTGGGATGGATGGGATTTAAGGTCCCTCCAACCCCAACCCATTCCGTGATTCTGTGTATTAAATGAATTTACTTCAGCAGGCATGTCTGTAGCAGCACACTTGGTGCTAAGTAATAAATAACAAACTTGCCCTCACATGGCTTTGTAAGCAAAGTGTTCCCTACCCTGAGCTCTGCCTTCTGCCTGCAATCTCCTGAGACAAGCATAACAATGTAAATCAATTGTGGTAAATTAATTGTAGTGACTACTCTGCTGCCTGACAAACATCTGGGAATTCTCTGTTCTGCAGGAGAGCTGTATGAAGGCTTTGATGAGGAGTACGACTGCCCCATTTTGGATGAAGACAGGGTAAGCCCAGCCCCTAGAGCCAGCCCCGCTGTTTTTTGGCTGTGCAGTGCCAGTGAGCCTGCCCCGTGTGTTGTGGTGCAGGTGGTGGATGAGCTGGAGGACAGGATGAGCCAGGGAGGGGTGATTGTGGATTACCACGGCTGTGACTTCTTCCCCGAGCGCTGGTTCCACATCGTGTTCGTGCTCCGCACTGACAACTCGTGTCTGTACGACAGGCTGGAGAGCAGGTGTGTCACTGGGCTGCACAACCCTCTAGTGCTCCTGTGGGCATGCCTGAAGGGTTAGCTTTCACATTGTCCAATTCTGCACTGCACTAGGATATAACTCTGAACTCCACACAAAGTGTTCCCAGCTCTCCTCCCAGCTCAGGCACACAAAACAATCCTTTTCCAGCCCCACAACCAAGGACAGCTGCAGCTCCAGCCCCAAAAAGTGCAAAGAGCAGAGAATGGAGGAGAGAATCTGGGAGGGTGGGACTGCAGAGCCTGGAGCTGGGATTGGACAATGAACCCCAAGGTGGGAATGGACCCAAACTGATCCAAGTGTGAAACTCCTGACCCAGGCTCCATCCTGGGTGTAGCCATGGCCAGGCTCTTGGAGTGCCCAAGGTGAATCTTTGGAAGGGCTTTTAATAAATCCCAATGTATTCCTTTTAATAAATCCCAATGTATTCCTTTTAATAAATCCCAATTTATTCCTTTAACTCTGCCCAGCCTCTGCTCCAGGGAGCTTCCCAAGGCATCAGTGGGACTTCACTTAGGGCATGAATCACTGATTCTCGAAAAAACACCTCAGTTTTCTCTGTGCCTCAGACTGCTTCTTGGTGCTCTTGTTCTCTAGGGGCTACACGGGGAAGAAGCTGCAGGACAATATTCAGTGTGAAATTTTTCAGACTCTGTATGAGGAAGCTGTGTTGTCATATAAAAAGGAAATTGTACATCAGTTACCCAGCAACACTCCAGAGGACCTAGAGAGGAATTTGGATCAGATTATGCAATGGATTGAGCAATGGATGAAGGACAACAACTGACTTTTGGTGAAACAGTAACTGCTGGATCTCGTGGGAGGGAGGGTTTAATAAATGATATTCATCATTCTTGTATTATAAATGAACATAAATTTTGCTGTAACTGGCTAGGGAGTAGAAGAAGATTCGGAGCGGCCAGGTTGTCAGGATTTGTAACAGCACCCTGAGAGGCAACAGGAGAACTGATACAGGTGACTGAAAGGATGAAAATGAGGCGTTGCTACTCAGGGTGAAAATGGTGCTACTCAGGTTGCCCTGAGTATCAGGAGCTGTGTTCGGCCACTGAGAATTCCTTGGACCTTACAATTAAAACCAAACCATGAATTCCCTGCAAGAAAACTGTAAAATTCTGGTTACAGGTGGCAGTTGAGGCACTTTTGATTTCCAGAGGGTGGAGCAGTGTCCTGTAAGGGAGTTGGATTGATGCTGAGTTGTGGGACTAAAACCTGCTGTGCTCCACTGAGGCCTTGGGCATGTGAGGGTCAGAGTGAGAAGGTTTGGTACAGGCTGAGGTGGGTCCTTTGCTTTGGAGGGAAAAGAAGTGATGTGAGAGTTAACTCTAAAATGATTGCACAGAGCTTTGGGGATTCCTTCATGTGTAAGGAAACATCAGCTGTGTGAGTGCTGGTCTGGCGTGTTTAACAATAAACTTAATTTTTCCTTTTTTCCCCATCCCCTGTCCCATCACTGCCAGATACTCAGGAAATGCATCCATCACTTGTCAGGATGGACCTGCAGTGATTCTAAGCGTGGTCACTGATAAAACAGAGGCAGGGATCTGTTCTGATTGCTGTTAAAGCCTGGGCCCCAGGGGGCAGGGCTGCACAAAGAAGAGAAAACCTTTCTTCAGAGAAAAGCTGCTTGGAAAGAAAATGTTTCTTTTTATGAAAGATTCTGCAAAATGCTTGCTTATAAACCCTTTATATACATGAGTTTGGCAAGTAAAACAGCTTTCTTGAAAACTTCTGTTGTGAGAAGAGTTGTTGTTACACACTTACAACTTTTTTAGTCCAAATTTGCTATTGGTATTTTTTGGTGGGTTTTTTTTGGTGACACATGTGGAGCAATACTGCCACAGGAGTTTGGTGTTATTATAAACTAGAATAGTGAGAAACGATGTGTTTCCTTGGAGAATTGGTCCCGGGCAGTGTGGCAGAGGCTGGGCTGGAATAGGAAGCAGGTGGAGGGTGTTGTGTGGGGTGTCAGGACAGCCCCATCCGTGCCAACATTGGGAGCAGCGGCCGCGCCTGCTCACCTCCGCTGGCGTTCCCCACGCCGTCCGAGCTGTGCTGGGCACACTGGGGCTGCAGTATGGACCGCTGATTAAAAAAAAAACGAGAATAAACAAACCGCTCCTTGCGAGCAGGCTGCGGGCAGCTCCCGGAGCCGCTCCCGGAGCCGCCCCGGGGCGGGACCGGCACCGCCGGTGCGGGCGAGCAGGTGGGTCGGGGGCTCGGGCCGGGCCGGGGGGACACGGGGTGGCCCCGAGGGGGTGTCCCCGAGGTGTCCCCTCCCCGGGCCGGGGTCTCACGGCGGGCGGCAGCGGCGATTCGGGCAGCCCCGGTTCCCGGTGGAGCGGTTCCCGCTCGGGGCTCGCCCTGCTGCTGTAAACAGCTTTTCCTGTTTTTCCAGAGAAAATCTGTCCTTGCGGGAGGCGCTGTTCACCGGTAGGTGAGGGGCCCTCAGAAAGGAAAAGAAGCCCAAGCCAACGAAAAACCCGAAAAGGACCAGAAGGAGAAGATGGAGGAAGCAGAAGAGGATGACATGACATGTGGAGACTTGGGAAACGGACTTGGGAGAAGACCGGGAGGTGTTTATGAAGGGGAAAACTTACAGAACTACTATTCAGTTAGATCTAGGAAGGGATCTGAAAAGACTTGTAATTCCCCCTTGTCAGCAAAGGTAGCAGAAGAAAGCGATGCTGCAGCTCTTCCTGCTCCAAAACGGAACAGCTTTTATGATGGATCCCTCAAAAAACCTGCCTCTAGTTCCACACGACAGAATAGCTGTGGTAAGAGTAATTTGGGAGTTAATTATTCACCCTAGGAAAGTTTTTGTTAGTGAAAATGAGCCGTTCAGCTGCCTCACAAAGTGTCATCAAGTTAAATTCAAACCACTTGCCAAAATCCCTGGAGGGTTCAGTGCCTGCTGGGATCCTCCACCTTCCAGAACATGAGCAGCAGAACTGCTTCTCAGTGGTCGAGGCCGTGGCCATTCCTAGTGCAAAATGTCCAGTTTTAAAGCCTTTGATTTTGCATTTGAAAGTGACATTTAGCAAAGAGCATCCTGCTTTGTTTGAGCACGTTGAAGTCTTCCTAAAGGTAGCACCTAAAGCTTGTAGCTAAAAATTCAAAATCTTACTTGCTTTTTAGTTGAAATTAGTGAATTAGCTTCCTTTAGGGAAGTCGTTTTTAGAACCTGCCTTGGCATTCATCTTCCTTTTTTGTGAAGGCAATGCTGCTGTAAAAACAATCACGTGTAGGCAGTGCTGTTCATTACAGTCCCACTGCTTTCCTGTCAATTTTTAATACTTTGATAATATTTTTGTGTAACTTGCTTATCTCTCTCCTTTAAACAATTCCCCATTATCCTGTCCACAGAAAGCTGAACTGTCTCTGTCTCTTGAAAATTGCCCATACTTCTAAATAGTGCTGGCTGTTGTTCTGGGTATGGATGCTGAAAAGTTGCAATCAGAAAAGAATATAATTTTTTGTTTGTTTTTCTAGTCAAGACGGAAATTTTGTTAGCTTTATTTTAAAGGAAGTTATAAAATGTTTGCCTTTACTTTATGTCTCTTTACAACAGACATTTTTCCCCATTTCACATCTTTAACTGCAAAGCAATGTGTTTGAAGTTCGTATTGATGTGTTTCTTAAATCTGTTTATTAGCTCCACGAGAAAAAAAACCCCGCAACACAGAGATGAAAATTCACCTTTGTACTTTACCTATTTTCAGAGTAAAATCCTCTTGGTTTTTTTTCTCTTTAAATATTATGGTATCTTATAATTTAGTATCCTCTATTAATCCTGCAGAATCTCATACTGAAGTGTCAAATGAAGACCTAAAGCAACAACTTCGGGAAGCTCTGGAGGTTGGTAACAGTGCCCGGGGTGCTGCTCTCCAAATCTGCATTTCCTTTCAATATAGCAGGAGGATCTTGGCATGCTGAGAGACTTGGGTGGACCCAGGTTCTTGAAATTAAGGCAGGGGTTGGAAGCTTCATTTATTTTTATGCCAAAAAATTGTAGTGCGAGGTGGACTTTATATTCTGGGGGGGTTTGTTTGTTTGTGGATTTTTTTGAGGGGACAGAGAAAGTATTTTTAAAGATGTAGAGAGTATTGAAGGTATTGCTGCACTTTTCTAGCAGATGTTTCTGTTTTACTAAGCTTTGGGGCTTGAAAATCTGTAGTGTAAACAATCTTTGGATTTTTAGTCTGCATTTTTGTTGAAAGGTAGTTAACAGTCCCTTTTGATTTTACTGTGGTTAAATGTGTTGAGGTGTTGGCATGACAGCCAGCTGACTTCAGCTGTAAAAATACACAATGCACTGTGTGTAAAAATGTGAAGTGTAAAAACCCCTCTGCACTGTGTTCTTTAACCTCAGGTGAGCCCATGAAAAGACATCACACAGGTAAAACAGAGGTTTGTTTTTTGAGGAGGGAAAATTTACATTGGTTTTACAGTCGAATCTTAACAGGATTACCTTGGCTTTTACTCCATGTATCTGCTTTGTTTTACTTCAGGAACTTGAAATTTTGAAAGTTGAGCTGGAAGCATCTCGAAGACAGCTTGAAGGAAAAGATGAAGCCCTAAGAATCCTGCAGAGCATGGTAGGAGCTGTTCAGAAAACACTTGGTGGTAACAAGGAGAACAGACAAAATCTTCTGCTGCTCCTCATCAAAACCTCAAAAACATTAAGGCCTTCCCAGGGCTGCAGTTTGAGTCATTGAGTCTGCAGGTGTCTACAGACTTGCCTCTGCAATTTACTGGAACTAGTGTGTTATTTAAGAAGAATTTACCGTTGTAGCAATTCTCATAATTTTACCTTTGAGGATCCTCGAGGATCTATCTACTAAATATACAATTAAGGCCTTTTTCCAGTCCCTTATAATGGAGACTTTGCCTGTGCTTGGAATCCTGCTGCAAAGCATGAGTATGTTGAGTTGGCTGCTCCATCTGCTGCCCTGCAGGACAATGTGCCTTAAAATGTCAGGTCGTTCTTTTGTTTGTAGTATTTTTATTCTCTTTCACAACAAATTCTGCTGAAAATCAGTTCCTGGGATTTAGCCTACTTGCATAACCCATTTCTAGTTGTCTCGTTTCTACCCTCACATACTTGTAGCACGTTAGGCCTGGATCAGAGCTTAGGTGTGTTGTAACCCAGTTTTTTGAGGTGTGATTTCCTGCACGAGTCCTGGAGAAGACATGATCTCGAGTGAAATGATGCTGTCGGTAGCAGAGGTTATGGGATTGAAACCCAAGTTTGTTATCCAAATTAGACTTGAGATCAGAACCCTCTGGGGCTCACAGGCAAGTTGCTGGTGTTTGTAACTCTGCACACTGCTGTTTAACTATGAACGTGAACTCTCTAGGTTCAGTTTAACTCAGTTTAATCACAGTATTTGACAGAGCTGCATTTTGGGTTTTGGTTTGGCTGTTGGTTATTTTTGCAGGCAGTGTTTGATAAAGCCACGAGCCATACAAAAGCAATGCTTCAGAAAACTGAGGAAGAAAAGAGGACTCTAGAGAAGGTGAGTGTGGGAGTTTCCTTCACACAGAGAAGCCCATGGCTATTAAAAAGGGGTTATCAGACCGTTTGTTTGAATCAGGGCATGTCTGACATTAATTCCAGGGGGTTTGTAAAAGGAATTCCCGTTCCTTTCCAGTAGGAAGGGAAATACTAATTTATCACTCTTCTGATCTATTTTGATTTTCATGCTATAATGACAATATCGGAAAATTGCCAGAGCTCCTCCTGTACTTTCAGCTGGTGTTTGTTGTGGGTTTCAGTTGCTCAGAGTGAGCTGCACAGCTCCTCAGTGCTCAGCTGAGACTTCCCAGGAGCTCTGAGAAATGGGTGCCCAGTTTTGGTAGGGAAGGTGCAAAGGAGGAGGGAGGTGGTTTTGTGCTCCCCTGTTAAAATTAGGTTTTGTTTGTTCCCCCTGCTGTTGTTGTGTTCCATTTAATATGAGTGGGACAGGGAGATGTGACAGCGTGGGTTTGTCTTTGTTGGAGGCCTCTGGAAGCATTAGTTGTGCAGCAGAGACTGGAGTCCCTAGGCCCGGGATGCAGAAACTTTGGTGTCTGGTTCCAAATTTGATGTTAGCAGTGTCACAGATTGCCACTGAGATCTCTGCCAAACCCAGCACCCCTGGCTCCTGATGATGGGAGCCCTGCAAGGAGCTGCTGCAAGTTTGCTTTGTTTCCACAGGAAATAAATATCTTGCAATGGGAAATTGAATTTGATCAGGACAGATTTAAAAACATAGAAGACACCTGGACAGAAAAATATGACAGGTATTTGACTTACACTGTGTATCACTGGGGTTTTTGTTTGATTTTTTTTAAAAATTGCACTGAGTGCTCTCTGTCATTTCTTTTGTGTTCCAAATTTGCTTCCTTAGGTTCTTTGAGGATTTTGTATTTTCCCAATTCCCTTCAAAA